CATTTTCCCTTTGTTAAAACATTAACAAAGGGAATAAGCTACACCCCTAAATTCATTGTAAAGAAAACTAAAAATTTAAAAGACAAATGCATTGCTATCAGAAATCCTCTTAAGTTTAAGATAAAGCCAAAACGGATTACTATCAACAACAGTTTTTGAATAATAGGGTTTTGGCTACTAAATCTGTAGTCAAGGATCTGCAGTGCATTCAAAGTTTACTTGTTGGCTACTAAATCTGTAGTCAAGGATCTGCAGCGCATTCAAAGATTGCTTGTCAAATAATGCTCCAATCTTGCTGAGATTTGCCTAAATCTAATAGTATTAGTCTCAGAATTTCTTGGTGTTCAGGGGCGGATACAGTGAAACCCCCCCCCCCCCAAAAAAAAAACTGGGTAGGAACCATATGCACCATACGAGGCACCGAACCGAATTCACAGATTACCTGGGGCGGGCGGATGCATGTTGGCGGTAGGGGTGCGTGAGGGTCCACCTTACTTCCCCCACCATGGTTGGGGCTGAGAGAATAGAACATTTTGAGAATAGGGACCTCTCAGGCGCGGATCCTAGATTTTTAGCTGGTTTTCCATAGAATCGCTCACCCTATGGGCGATAGTCGTGACAGTTGTGGTTCACAGACGAATCGGGGTACCTTCCCGATTGCGCAGGGCAGTTAGCAATGCACCCTGATTCGTCTACGTCTGCGACGCAATTGGAAAAGTTGAACCAGGTTCAACATTCCCGACAACTGTCGCCGATAGGGTGAGCGATTATATGGAAACCGAGCTTTACCCTGACTATCGCACATAATGGATTCCCTCAGTGAGCGGGGTCATGGGAAGAAAACGTAATGTTTGCTTGTTCCTTCGCTGGAAGACTATTTAGACGTGGGACGGGGTGGTTTGCGGTAGTCTTGATGTTCTCCTCCTAACTTCGGAAAGTTTTGTTTTTTCTAGATGCTGAGAAATGTACTGACGTGCATTACGAGACTTCTATTGATGAATGAATACACACTGAATTAATAGTTCTCCCCCAGTTTACCATGGACAATTAATAATTGCGATGATGAAGATAATAATGATGATGATGTGATGATGATAAGGAGGAGGGGGAGGAGGCATCGTAGCAGGTGACCACAGGCTGCTGTGCAAGGTTAATTAACAGGCCCTTTGATATGAGTGTCAACCGAGGCCCGTATCCCGAGTTCTTCCTCACACTTACAATGCACACAATCGGACAACAGTAATTATCTACAATTTATATTATCAGTACATTCTCGACTGTCATGAAAATATCATATATATCTAAAAAATTACGTTATATGCATGCTCGGAAGCGGAAAGTTTAAAATAAAAGGGGTTTTTTCTCTCTCTCTCTCTCTTTTGTGGGGTCTTCCCACCTTTATTTCACGATTTTTTTTCGGATTTTCAAATTTTTACCAACATTATTAAACATTTTTATTCACTAAACTTAACATAAAAGTTTGATATATGCTTCATGTTGTTTGTTGAATGGTCTTTGATGATATTATATTCTAATATGACCACAGCATAAGGAAGAACATTTTGTCACCTACAAAGTTCAGACACATATACCGTACATTATATTTCCTTGGGCCTAAATCATAAGGAAGTCCGCTCTATATCCAAATTTCAGGAAATTATACGTTTTATGCATGCAACGACGTGGGAATTTTGTTTTATGTTGTTTGTTGAATGGTCTTCTTTAAAAATATTACAGTCTAATATGACCACAACATAAGGAAGTCCATTCTTTGAATGTTTATTAGATAGTACAAAGAATTATGATTGTTTATCAAAATCATTATAGACATGTTAAATCCATTTAAAACCCCCCCCCCAAAAAAAAAAAAACGTTTTCAGTGCTCTCGCCGACGTGGAGAGATTAACCTAATAATCTTGTTAACAATGCGGTTCTAAAATTAATCTTATGACGACAAATTTTAAGTTGTGACTTCAGGAAAAATAATAATTCATTTTTATTGTACCGCCACCAACTGAGAAATTAATTAAATATGCATAAATGTCTTCTGCGATTGGTTGATTGCCAACATTTCAATGCTTAGTGGTTGGAAATTCGGATATAATGCGTAACTCTCATAATAATTTCATATTTCAAAAAATTGTTTGGAGTATATGATCACGTTCTATGATAGATTACATCCACAGGGTGCCCCTAAGCCAAAATTTCAAAATTTAATAAATTGCGTTTTTCCGAATCACGACAGGCTGGGTAGAATTGGCATACTGTTTAAAATGTAAAAATTGAAGATTTTATTTTTAAATCACAGAATATCGCAAATTTATATTCAGCACATTCTCGACTGTCTTGTAAATGTGGACCTTATCAAATTCGGGCCTGGAAACTTAACTTTGGTGTAATTTTGGAATAACAAAATATAATAAAATTATATATGCCTTTCAATAAGGTTTATAAATATTAACGCACATGTATAGCCTATCTGGAGGTCTGGATCCACGCCTGCCTCTAGTCTAGGTGCCCGGAAATTGCACTCTCATACCTTACAACAATACAACAATTATTTTTCTTAATACAAATTAGTGGGGTGCGACCGCACCCTCTGCACTCCCTCTGCATCCGCGTAATACGCGATTTCAATACCATTTTACTTCACTCTCTTCCCTCTTCCTAATTTTCTCTCTTTTTCTGAGGGGCTCTATCCCCCATTCCCACCTAGGCCCGCCTCTGCATATTATTAACTAAACTCATTTAGTTACTTATGTAACTTGGTTTATAAAGCATAGACGTAACTTGACATTTTAACAGAGTAGTAAGATGAAGATAAATTTAAATCGTAAATTTATTGTAATATAACTTACAGTGAACGCCAGCTAAAACATATCCTAGACAAAGGAACTTGAAGGTCGGAAGTCAAAATTAACATGGAAAGCAAACATTGATAATGTCATCCTGCCCAGAACAAGCCCAATTGTATCAAATCGCAGAGATAAGG